TAAAATAAACTTCAATATGTTTATTAATGCTTTCGTTTCACTGTATAACAAGATAAGGCAGCTGCATATTAGCATGGTGTCAACTACACTAGCTACAAATGAGCCTCACTGTGCTGCAGGTGTAGATGTTACACGTAGTTCAGCTGTAAACAAACACTGTGTTCAGACAATAAAAAGGCTTTCAAGACAACACTCAGCTCGCTTTTCGTGCAGGCTTACAGGCTTAGCATTCTAGAAATAGCAAATTAACAAGAAGTTAAAAACACACCAACCTTAGCTTCCTCTCATTAACAGTCAAACGGAGCCGGTGAAGTGTCCCCGCTGTTCATACGGTGAGTGGTGATGAATAAACAGCTGTTTTTATCATAATGTGTTGTCGGTAGCTTCAGATTTTCACATCATATTTCTCTCCTACGTGAAACCGGAAGAGTCGCTGTCTCTCGATTCCGATTGGCTGTTTGCTGGGCAGGTGTTTGTGGCGTCAACGTCCAGCAGGGGGCGCTGCTGCCTCATAAACTGAATTGACTGATGTGTATATCAAGTAAATACTGCACTTTGACTTGAGTATTAATAATTTAAATAATTAAAAGTACTTTATACTTGTTTTTACTCTAATCCTTTCATCTGGTAACTTTAATTGTACATACAAAGTCACGATCAGACACTAGCAGGTGTTTGCAACAAAAAATCTAGGGGAAACATTTGTTATGATTAAATTATAATAAAATAAAAATAATAAAACTACGGCTGTCAAATGTTAACTAAAGCAGGTCGAAAAGATAGTTTTGGATGTTCCCTTTAAAGTGAAGGAGCAGGGTAATTCTTGTACTGCTGCTTATTTTAGAGAAATAATAAATCACACCGAATACACTTACGTCAAACCAATAACAATGGCCTTGTTATTATCTTCTGGGGAAAATGGCTGGTCAAAAGGTTTATGATTAAAGAATACTGAATTCAACATTTGAAGTAAACAAAGTATTTAGTAAAGTATTGCCGATTAGGTTGATTCCCTGCAGAACAACAGCTGATGAGACAGGATCGATCCATTAAACTCAATGGAAAAATAAACCAATTAGCCTCCTCTCTAAACGGTCTGTGCTTCAGGTCCAAATTAGGATAAAAGAAAAATCTATTTTGGTGTCAAGTGTGAGGGCAGTAAGTGCTCTGTAAGTGTTCTTGTTAAGAATGTGCACTGTTGGATGCAGCTTGTTAAACGTGAAATGTGGAGAAAAGCTCAGATTTAGCAGCCTAACAACAACAACATAAAACAGTCATCTGACTTGCAAATTTCCCCTCTGTGGGACTAATAAAGGTATTCTGACTCTGATGACCCACTCCTTTCCAACTATGACTTGCATTTCTGTTTTGGTTAGTCTTGTTTTTCTTATTTGTTTAGGAGTGTGCAAGTTCTCTTTGGATCCTTACTGTTTGTAATGTAACATCACTCTAAAACAGGTGTGTCAAACTCAATTTAATCGCGGGCCACATCAGCATTATGGCTGCACTCAAAGGGCCGGTTGTAACTTTAAGACTATATAAAAATACATATATAAATATATATATAAAATAATGTATTATATTACATGATTGCCTCTGCATTGGATTATTATTGGATAGGGTAATAACTTCATAATTAACTACGTCTGAAAGCAGAAGTCTGGGGCAAATAATTGCAAGTCTCTTCAGTGAGCACGTCACAAAATGATTTTCCACATTTTGGAGAAAAAGTCAAAATCAAAAAACAGAAGTGACATTTAAAAAAAAAAGTAACATTTAAAAAAAAGAGTCAAATTCTGAGAAAAGGGCACATTCTAAGAAAAAAGGCATATTTAGAAGAAAAAAAGTCAAATTCTGAGAAAAAAAAAAGTCTAATTTGAGATGCATTGTGGGACATGTAGTTTATGGGTAACGTGCTTCTGTAAATCATCATGTAACCTTATAATAAATATAATATTCTTTGCAAGCTCTTGTGGGGCCACAGAAAATTAAGTCACAGGCCGGATTTGGCCCCCGGGCCTTGAGTTTGAAACCCTTGCTCTAAAATAAACCTGTATTTTTCTTCAATGTTCTTTATATTGTTTGTTAAAGTATTTGGCAAATTGGCTTTTTATTTGACTACTTCATATTTCACACAGTAAATATATGTAATTATTGAAATGTCAGTGTCTTTTTGAAGAAGCAACCTTTATCGTATCATAACAGGAGTCACAGTTGAATTTTCTATCTGTTTTATTGAGAAAAAAAGACTACATTTGTCAACACAGTGGCAAGGTATTCTCTGAAGAAAGCATGTGGCAATAACTACGACGGGTTCACTTACACACACGAGTGGGTCAATGAGGATCGATGAACTGTTCAGTTTCTCATTATACATATTATATGGCAGAAAAAGTCCTCACAAAACAGTTAATACAATTTTTTAACGACCCACTTTATTCATACAATCCAAATGTCTACCATAGGTACATTTTGTATTTTGTATAAACTGTGCATTTTACACAGAATCTTAAACAACAGTGAAACCATGAGGAGTGAAAAAATAATCCTTGCATCAAAAGGTCATTTAAAATACATACCAGCATTCAATCTAAAATTATATTAAAGGGGCGCCTTTACAGAACGGACTTCTGTACATGTTTCTTTATTTAAATATCTTATACAAACTTAGTGTATATAAATAGCCTTCTCATTACAAACAGCGACATACTGTTCTGCCTTTACTCAAATGACAATTTTCCCCAACACGTCACTCTCCCTTCATTCTCACAGTCCATCATAAGAAAGACAAAAAATAACTATATTAAAAACATAAAATAACAATGTATATATATATTTCGGTAAGTCAGGTATAGGCAGCCTGGGTGCTAATCCTCTCCTTCAGATCCCTTCATTTGAATCACTGCACTGACTGCAGCACAGGAGCCTGGAAAGACCTCCTGACACTGTGAGCATCTCGTTTGCATCTTAAAGGGACAGTTCACCCCAAAATGAAGATTCAGGTTTTGATCTCCTTGTTAGCATGTCTGTAGAAACTCCATCGGTGTCTAGCCAGAAGACAGAGTATCTCAGCTTTGTATTACAATTCTAACGTCAGTTTACTTGAGCTCGGGACATGAGATTTTCATTGCCATTTCCACGTTGTAGCTTATGTGCATGTGACATTAAAACCGTAGAATTGTTTTATCTTGTATCTTGAAATGAATGCATAAAATGTCTGTCAAGTTTCTGAAGAATTTGAAAGTTAAAAAAGTAAACTGTTTAATATTCGATTTGTAATCTGTTAAAAGTTGTTTGAAGTACTTTGTGAAGAGTCTGAGATTAAAGTGTTGCTAGTTTTCCTAAATTAAAAGTTTAAATACTTAGGATTTTCATTAAATTAAATGCCATTATTGCAACTTTATAGTCTTGCAATAGCCATCCATCCTTCAGTTTTTACCTCTCTACATAGTGTTGTGGGTTTTATCTGTAGTCTGCTGTTCCCTGGCTGGATCCAGATTCCCTTATGCATGAAGCATCCATAGGAAATGATGCATTGCATGTAATCCAGTGCAATTATATCTCATCATCTCAGCTTCATAATTGACTGTTTGCTGTCTTTACTCTGTATCAAAGCTGAAGTCACAGCAGGTACAAACTGCCAATGCATTAAAAGCAATTAACTGCAGAAACTCTGGCTTCATTTTGGGGTGAATTATCACTTTAACTCAAAAAACGACACTACAAAACTGTGCAGACTTCCTGATTCTGCAGTGTTTGTGTTGTTGCTAATGTCAAACGCACACTGGCACAGTCAAACACACGCCAAGAAACAATGGATCCCTTTAATAGAGGTGAGAGAGACTAGCATGCAGGCTGCTGAGACGTCGGGTTGGGGTGATATTCGGTGTGTCGCAGGGCTCCCATGTTGCACGATTCCCCTGAAGGCATGACAGCGGTGAAAATCATTTCTTTCAATTGTGTGTGTGTTAGACGTGTGGTGCAGATCTGTCATTCGTGACTGTTGGTCTCAGCTTCACTGTGGCAAACGGATTCCCTCCCCTGCAAATGAAGAAATAAAAACATCTGAATTAATGCCGGTAGCTTCTAATTCATCATCAACCAAAGTGTAATTGAAGGGGGAAATGTGTGAGTTTTTGTTAGTTGTGTTAGGTCACTCACCCTAGAAAGGGAGCGTTTGCAGTCCCATTGACTAAAGAAACCTGTAGTCAAAAAACACAGAAGAAAACACCCTTAAAGATCCAGTAGAGAAATAACTCACAACATTAAAAGCACACCACCGCAGCAGCCTCCACCCCTCCCTCCAGCTGTGAAGAAAGTCAGTGTTGTCAGACCGGTTTGTTAAGATTTTTCATCAACAGTTTTCCCCCCCGCCTCCCTCATTCCCAATCAGTGCAGTAGAGCTTTGACATACTTAAAATACACGTATTAGTCTGGAATCTGGATCATCTAGAACGGCTACACTGCTTTTTCTCTCACCTGAGGACGATTATAATCTTCCTGCATCCACAGAGCAATGTGACCATCAATTTATAGGTCGTAAATATCTGAGCTATGTTCCCTGAATGCTTCCATAGCACTTATTGTCTCGTAAAATTCAGTACAGACAGTTCTTAAAGAAGCTACGAGCTATTCAGAGGAACTATTGTCAACCTAATAATTTATATTTGAGGATGTGGGTTCCTTTTAGAACAATAACTTTTATTGAAACTATTATTTTATCACTTATTTCACAGCGCATGACAAGGGTGGATGAAGTGAGGGAACTTATTTGAGTAATATTGGAATTAATAAACGCAAATCTTTAGATTTTACTTCTGTTATCATGCTTGCAAAATATGTCAATGCATTCTTTACTAATTGCAGGAACACATGCACTTCCCTGCACTTCCTTTAGAGATCAGACAACAGCCAGAAGTCATGACTTTTATTCCCTGAATTCAGCCTTTCAGGAAGCAACTTCTCAGCATTCCTCATCTAGGAACAAACTATAAGATAACAACATTTCAACTTGGACATCTAAAGTCCAAACATAAATGTAATTCAGAGATAAGAAATACTATCATGAATAAAGCTTAACTTGGAAATATAATGCTTTCAAAACACTTCAAACCTGCACGAAAAATCAATATTTACTTCGGGATAAGCGACATTTTCAAGGCAAACAAACTTAAAAGTGGATTTTGAGCCAGTAACACATTTGAGAAACCTTTAGTTCCTTGCTGCCTTAACATTGACAGCTTTATACATCAATAACATCTACATAATAACGTAGCCTAATATAATCGTCCGACAAATCTTTCCTTGACCTCTTTCAAGTGAGTTTAAGTAAAAGTGATAACGAAAGGCCAAAATGTAAATAAACATTTATTTTCTATTGGACCAGAGGCAATACCTTTGTAGGGTGAAGGAGAAGGGATTTGAATGCTGCCTGTGAGGCTTGACTCAGGGAACAAACGCCCTAAACAGCAATAGTGAAAACCTTCACCTTTGCCTTACAGTCACAAAAACAACCATAAAGAGCACAATCAGCCTTTGACTCTGAAAAAAAATCCTCAAAGGCAGGGAAATGACTTTTTAACAATGACATTAAGGTTTTGCTGAGTTCTAAAATAATCAGCACTATGATTCCTACTGTTGGCACGGCACACCCTCACTGTGTTTTATTTCCTGGTGAAACCCTGAGGCTGCAGATACAAAGGACGCCGAGTACAGGCAGAGCAGCGAGGAAGGTGATGATGAGGGAGAAACGAGTGTGCCCGGGCATGTCTTCTGCCCGCTGGAGAGACACTAGTTCATTCTCAGTCAGCTGACACAGTGGAGGCACAAAATGAAATGGTTTCTCCTCTAATCTCTCCATTTCTGAACAAACCTGGCAAAACAAGGCTGGGAGCTTTTTTCGTATGTCTTATAAAAAACAAAAATGAGAACTCTCCTATCTGTTTTACATGTTTCCTGAATGATAAATACAGTAACTTGATTACATAACATCCGCATTTCAAATATCATTTTCGGGAAGAAGTCGTCTCGGTTAAAATAGCGTGTTTCCTCGAACTGGTATGAGGCACTGAGGTGTGTTTCTGGCTGCGTTCCATCTTTAAGGGCGTGGAGGCCATGACTATGCAGCAAGTAGATTTGATAAGAAGCAAATTAGTTTACCTGTTTTAATGTTCACAAAGCTCTTTTTTTTTTCTCATACTAACCAGAGCCCAGTCTGCTCTGATTAGTTAGCTGACCGGCTCTGTTGTGATTGGTCCACCATTCAGAGATGTCCCGCCCCTTAAACTCATATAATGTGTTGGAGTGCTAGCCCATAGAAGCACGTGTGTTACATGGTCACTGTAGGAGCCGCATTTAAGCTTATTCTGTTTTGATTTATTTGGAACTTTTATTAACGCATTTTTATGTTGCAGCGAGAGGTGCGCCCTGCTCAGGTGAGGGCGGGGCTAAAACTTGAAGTTGGAGGTGCGGTGTGTGACGGGCAGAGCAGCAGGCAGCAGCCCTACCGTCATTGACCGCAACCTTATTCTCAGTCAAACTGATTATTAGGATCTGCTGCTGAAGTTGAAGTGACAAAGTGGTATTGTTTTCTGGAAATAAACGTTCAAGAGAAATCAACCAAAACGTCCAATGGATTTTTTTACTGCGAGTCTGACACTGCTTCCCAGCCCCAAGCTCTCCATGTGGCCAAGAAAAGGAACATTTGAAATATGGAGTTATAAGACAAACTGTTAGGATTTTGGCCACTACAGTCACTATGTTACAAAAGTAAACAAAGGAGTCCAATAATTTCAGACCATTTACATGCACACAAACCTATAACACACAACAGGAAAGGGACAACTCCAAAAAGCATAACAAGGCCCCTTTACTAAGTACTATACCATACACTCTGCCTGCTGGTACTGACCGTGCTTTTGGGGGAGGGTGTGGAGTAGGGGGGGTTGTAGGGGGCGTCGTCGCTGTAGTCTGGGGGGGGGCAGCAGCACCGGCTCCTCCTCATCCTGCTCCTGCAGACTGGACACACTCAGACTGCGCACCGGCGTGCTCAGATTGCTGCAAATCACATAAACAAAAATCAGCTTTCAAACATTCACTATGAAACAAAGGATTGATTCCCAGCGCGCTGTGATGTTTTCTCACCTGTTTGATATCACTGAAGGTCTGCAGTAAGATGAGGGAAACCACCCACGCCTAATAAGGAACACAAACACACCACGATATCAGAACACCTCATAAAACTGTTCTTATATAAACAGCTGAGCAGCATAAAAACTTTATTGTTCCCTGATTATTTGGATAGTTGCTATCTGCCTGGAGTCCATGTGACATAAACGCCCACTCTTTATAGGAGAGGTTTCAGACGTGGGAGAGGTATCGATCGTCTCCTCTGACTCTCGGCAATAAAGCACATACGTTTATTTTCTTAAATGTCAAACTTTTCAGACAATCTTACAGTAAAACCAAGCTGGATATATATATATATATATATGTATAACATGGGAGGAAAAACTGACACTGATTTTTGCCAATATGTGAACAATGGATTTGTTTTCTTTTGGTTAAAATTATTCAACAGATTTTCTACTAAGACCCCACGTCTCCAAGCCACGTCTAGAGGAAAATAGGGCTGATCACACCAGTGCGCTGGATTTGTTGCTAAGAAACAGAATGTAATGTGATTTATTCAAACATGTCCTCATCCTGACAAACTGCCACTGAATGCATTTAAACCACTTTGATTCAAAAAGCCACTTAGCGACACACACACACACACACAACAGGGAGATGAGGAGTGTTTAATTTGTTTTAAAGTGGGAATAATTTGTCGTGAATTGTGAGTCCTAATTGAAATAGTGAGGTTAAAGATGACTACACAGACAATTACAGGCTATTTAATGGATGTGTGCTGCTGTATTTACATATAGAAACATGACTTGTGCATATAAACACTTTCCAAGCTGATGATTTGAGCAAAAATTACACAAAATGTGTTTGTATCTGAGAAGAAGAAGCAGGGAAGAAATTGCTAAACCGTCGAGAGAACATTTTCCCCCTCTCCGTCGTCTGGAGGTGACACAGCTGCCGTTCAAAAGGTGTGATTTCATCCCGATTGCTTTTTTAGTCGACATATTAAATTCAGTCACTCATCATCGCATGCCAGGGTGAAGGAAAATTAGCCATTAAGTGTTCAGCGTTGAAGGAAATATAAAAGACCAGATGTCTCTTGTTTGTATGTGTGCACCTGGACCTTTTGGCATGTGTGTGTGTTGTTGTTGTTAGGCAGGGCGAGAGAGAGAGAGAGAGTGAGCAACAGAGAGAGAAAGAGTGAGTTTATGACTGTCGTGTCGAACATACCTGACATTCTCTGTGTTTCTAAGCATGGTGTATCCGCACAGCTTGATATTAACACACACAAAGCAAGAAACAAGTACGGCTAACCGGAGTTATGTGAAACACGCGTGTGTGAGCACTGCTGCATATTTGTGGGAATGAAAGTGCATTTCCTCTTTTGAGTGTGCCAAAGGTTGAATTTAGATTGGGATGTTCACAATAAAACGTCCTATTGGCGTTCTAACAAGTTATGTAAGAATACAAAATCCCTTTGAACTGAACCAGCTTCTTAAATTAGAAGGATAACACTGTCATAACTATTTATTTGTATTATTGTAAACAAGTCCCATCATTCTTTTTTAAAACATAGGCAATAATTGCTCAAACAGCCACAAGTGAGTAACTAATGCTAGTGACTATTTTCAGTGGCAGACTAATATAACACTTTTGGTGCATTAAGGGTTGTTATTAGTAGTGACAGCTGCAGGGTTGTGTACGGTATGTGGGATCTACACACAAAATAAACTGCAGTGTGTGTGTGTTTATGGTAATAAAGAAATATGTCGGTGATCTCTGGCAAAGAAAAATAAATAAATCAGTCAATACTTGTGAAAAGGATTACTTCAAAGTGGGTTTTGGTCTTTTCATCGTGTTTTTTGGCACTAAAAAGTATTTATAACCACAGCAAGTATTCTTAAACCACACATGCTGAGATTAATATAAAAGAGACTAAAAAACACTTGTATATCCTGGACTAAAACGTACTGCTGTGTCTTCTCCAGCTCTCCGTACAGCCAGCCGTCCTTCTCTTCGTGGATGAGCAGGGAGATGATGTCGCCCTCGTCGAAGCTGAGGAGCGTGTCGTTGTTTCCCGCCGCGTGGGGAAAGATGGTCCTCACTCGAGCTTTCCTGGCCACGTTGAGACCGGACGACTGGGACGTGGACCGGGACAGACTGACATCTCCGAGACTGTTCTGGTCTGCAGGAGAAAAGAGATGTTAAACGTAAAAGCTATATTACTTTAAAGTAATAATACGGAAGACATCATTTAAGTATGTGTCTGTTGAGTCCCTATTTATTGTCATATACTGTACGGGTATCACATTGGTGATATGGTTTATGGCCCTCTGATAAACAGCCTTGCTTTTGCATAATTACAAACTTGGTGTCTGTGGCGACATTCCCGGGAGAAATCAAGAAAAGACTACAGGCTACAGACATTGAAAGTTCAAAAACAAGTGCAAATCCAAGGAAATATAATATGGCCAAAAATAACAGCAGAGATCCACGATATTGTAACTTAAAAGCAGGAGGGTCTGGTGCTGTTTTCAGCCTCTTAAATACAGAGATTTCCTGCTTCTCTGTTTTATTTCATACTAAAAACTGAATATCTTTGGGGTTTGGACTGACGAAACAAAACCTTTGAAGACACCACTTTGGACACACTTGAACAGCAAATGGTCAATCAATGAATGTAGAAAGAAATTAGCAGGTTAATGGACAATGAGAATCCCTGGAAGCCATCCATACCTGCGGTGGGGTCTGAAAGTTGTGTGAGTGAAGGGGATGTGAACATGTCCACGAGGCGACTGGTCTGTGCTTTCAGTTGCGGTGCTGGAGGAGGAACCCCTGAACCCACTTTGTTCTGAGGAGATAAAGAAGAACATGATTAGCAGGTGCAATCTGAGACAAAATATGCGAGGGCAATAAGGAAACTATTATATGTTTTTCCTCTAAATGATCCGGGACATTTCCTTATCAAGACGATTTGAACAGTCATTACTGTAATTTAAACTTTCCTCCTCATATGCTTAACAAACTGTGGACTTTACAAGAGCAACACATGCAGGATTCCCCATGGCTGATAGCCAGGTGATAAGCAGCCACTTATAACAGCCTCGATACAGTATGATACTTATCAGCACCTTTGCAAGATAAAAAACAAGCAACAAGACGAGATAAAGCACCTCACGGCCACTCTTTTCTGCACCATTTGATCCATGTTATTTACTGTTTGGAATGCTTTAATCCACAGCTCATATAAATCCTCGATCAGTATCGAAGTAAGGGATGAAAAGCAACACGTAGTATAATAAGTGTGTCATTGATGCCATTAACAGCTAATTCTTACCCTGTTGTTGCGTTCATTGTGCGGCGATTGTTCTGGAGTGCTGGACAGCTCATCTATCATGTTCGTCACCGTGTCCGGCACCTTGGTGATGTCGCTGCACTTTTCCTGCCAGCTGGGAAGCTTCATAGACAGCGTGTCTTTGGCCTGGAAACACCAGAGAAATAATTAAAATGGTTAAGCAGACCATAAACGGAGGGGCTCTGAGAGATTAGCTCCGTGTCCACGCTTACTTTCTGGTGGAAGTTGCTGATTTGATAAGAGAACATGCAGTGTTTGTCCGCCAGGAAACAGAAGCGTCTCATTTCTTCCAGTAAGGCCTCTCTGCAACCGTCAGCCATGAACTTCTGCATGTCCATCTGGCGCGACGAGATGGTCTCCACATACTGCGGACAGGGTCACAAGACAGAAGGAAATATAAATGTAACAGAGAAATCCACATAACTTCATGATAAAATAAATATATATTCAAATCAAATAAAAGAAAATAATTTAAATAAAAATAACATATAATTAGAATATAAATTGACATAAAAATAAAATGTATAAAAATAGGAATGAGTGAAAACAAAACAAAAAATATCTATTATTTTATTATTATTTTCTCTAATAATAAAATAAAAAGATTAAGTAAAATAATTCAAATAAAACAAATATAAAATACAGCAAAATATTAAAAATAAAATAATAAAATAATAAATATTATGATATTACTGGAATAGAAAAAATAAGAATACATATTTGAAAATCAAATGTATAATTTATTTATTATGTTTTCCCATAATTTCCATTTATTTTACTTTTCTCTTATATTTACCATTTTGTTAATTTACTTTCAGTACATCTTAAACTTGGCAGCACCTCTCTCTCTCTCTCTCTCTCTCTCTCTCTCTGCAGCACAGGGCGTGCCACAGGTGATTCAGCAGGGAGGAATGTGCTGCTTTATGACCGTCGCCAGTGAAACACTCTTTGAGTAAAAGCTATCTCTGCGGCTGCCACTTAATGTGTGTGTGTGCTCCGGTCAGACTCACAAATCAAGGCACTAAACAGCAAGTGTATTTGTGTCTCCGGCTGCTGCTCGTGGATCGATGTTAGCGCAGCGGTAAACCAAATCTGTATTCTGAAAGACACACCTTCCCCACGGAGAAACATTGTGACTGTGACGCAGGACAGATTGGCTACTGGACCACAAAAAGTCTTTAAAAAAATGACTTCTCAACCCACTCCTCCATTGATTGATTTTTTGACACCCACTCCCCTCTCGTCCATTCTCCCATGTTGTCATAGTGACAGTAAAGCAGCCTGTCAACGACCCTCCTCTACCGTCTGGTCTTTTAGACGCTGGATCAAGGCCCTTCCATTTTCTCTCAGTGAGAGGTGGGAGAGCAGAAAGACACAACTGAGCTCAGCACCAGCAGCCGGCGTCACACGATTTTGAGAAAACTGATTTGTATTTTGAAGGTGTCATCTTTCAACAGATATTGCAAAAGCCACTTCTGAAAGAGATGGGGGCTCCAGATGAGATGATTCACTGTGCGATTGTCTTTTAAAACGGTGCCATTGAAGTGAAAAGATAAACAGACGATAGAATCTGATGCTCCTAAACAAACTACCACCTGCAGCTTTTCCTTTAAAGGTTTTGTTTGACAATTGTCTCGAAGTAAACCAGAGCTATTCATTCATAATTTAATGGAAGCAATGAAAACCGTCGTTAAATTATGACAGGAGTATTTACTCAGAATGTGCAGTTCCTTTATTGATTTACAAAGCAAATTGCTGTCAGAGGTGTTAAGTGTGATTGTTAGTTATGGAAAGCATAACTTAAACCCCCTGACATTATGAAATACTCATTTTAAACTGTATACACTTCAACCTTTACACTCAGGGTCACAGCACACAATATTCAAGCAAAGGAGATGTCAAAACTGACAGTAAATTCTTCAAGGCCTTAAGATAGCCACATGCAGTGCAGGATGAGGCCCTAGATGATATACTTATAATTTATAAAGCTGGATACTTCCCATCTACAATTGTCACCATTCGGCTACTTAATGCACCTAAACGTGTCAAAAGGACAGCCAAAGAAGGTGTAGCAATTGTATTTCTCTGGTAAACAAGGCACACGTTTTCACTTACTAGCCAACCACAATACTGTTGGAGCATAGGAGCCGTCAGCTGCTATGTTTATTGGGTTAATGTAGCAGTCTGTAACGATTTGGTACGGAGAATGATAAGGCAAATGCTAGCTAGCTAACTAGTTAACAGGGGTATAGGTCAATCATCATTTCTGGTAAGTGCACAATGGACGATTTTCATCTGAGACAACCCTACCATGTTGAAATTCACAAAAGTATTAGCATAAGAGTCAACAGCCACGCTCGTAGCCCTGTAAGACTATATTTAAAGTGGACCTATTATGCTATATTGGAAACATATATTGTAGGGCCATACCTATACAAAACATGTCTGTGAAGGATTTTGCTTAAAATCCCAAACAGTTCCCCCATTGTAGCCATGCCTCATACTGCTCATACCCCTCTTTTGCAGCCCTGTTAGGGAAACGCGGATTTTGGGTCCTTAGCTTGAAGAAAAGAAAAAGAGGAGGCGGAGCTAATGCCTGATCAGAATTCTACCGGAGATAAAAAATTAAATTCTGCTGTGATAAAACGCCATCCTGTTCCAAACCACATCAAGGATTATTTTTGAAACAGTATGGAGCTCAAATGCTTTTTCTCTTCCGGGTTTATCACAAGGTGAGTTCCTTTTTTAATTTCCTGCTTTTTAAACACATGTGCTCTCTAGGACAGGTTAGCTCTGAGTGTTAGCGAGGCTTGCTAATGTAAACAAAGACGAGATTACGTCCAAAACACATCAGGCATTGTTTCTGATGTGGGTCCGCCGCCAATTTGACGGCAATATTGGCAGCAAATCTGTATCCGCTCGTTGTACCCCCGTTTTTAAAAGATTTGGGTACGGAGGAAAAGAGAAAGGGTTTTATTTTCTGACGCTGCGTGAGTTCCCCGACACACCGGGGACACATATTTATGTATAAAAGACATCAAAAAGTGCATTTCGCATGATAGGTCCCCTTTAAGCAAACGCCAAATTACAAACATGCTCACAATTACATTTTAGGTGTCATTTATCACACCGTCTTAGCTTTGCGTGTCAGGTAGCCAACATTTGCTAATGAGCACTAAACTGCTGTTGTGGTTGTAGGTTTTCGGTTTCAATCATGTCTTCTGTGGGCAGAGAAGTGTATATGCCTAACAGCTAAATGTGCCTTACTAGCGCTATGTTGCAAAACCTTTTATTGCGTAATATACCAACACAGAAAACACACGTCCATTTTGTAGACTTGCTACGACAGCATCTTTGGTTACTAGAAATAAAGCGTTAAGGTAAATATTTTGTGCAAATCAATCCCAATCGCTGCATCCAATACAAACTGGATTTCACTGTGGTTCTTACATGAGAGCATTCAAGCGTATATTTGTACAAATTTGGGTGTGTACGCCTTTGATAAAAACACAATCTTTCGTCTGTATTTGAACGCAATGAGTCGTGGAATAATGGTCTCGATCTGCTGCGTGTAAACACAAAGACTCAGCCAACAGCTAAAGGCGTGGTGGCACCTTTTGATGGTTTTAATCCCTTGTCCTATCTAAAAAAAAAATTCGTAAGGTATTAAGTGTTTGAACACATATCTTAAACGTCACTCATCAGTGATGCCATGCCCTTACGTAACATCAAAGTGCAACTCTGAAACTCCGCACATCCTTCTTTCTCCTTTGCAATGGTATGCTATTATCATGACAACTATCTTGGCCATATCTCCCCACCCTGTCACATAAATTGTACATATGTCATATTAGTTTCGCTGTCATCAGAGCATAAGCATGCAACTGCACCGTGCTTGGAAAGCCATGCAATGCAGAAGTATCAGACAGGCTTTGTTTTGAACAGTCGTGGAAGAAGTATTGGAGCATTTACTCAAGTGTATAAACACTCTGTTACAAGTGAAAGTCCTGCATTTCAAATGTTAAAAAGATAACTATAAAAGTAAGGCCATCAAAATATACTTAAAGGGGACCTATCATGCAAAATGCACTTTTGTACGTCTTTTAAACATGAATATGTGTCCCCGGTGTTCCAGGGATCTCACCAAGTGTCAGAAAACACAACCCTCTCTCTTTTCCTCCATACCCAAATCTCTAAAAAAGGGGCTGCAACGGATCTGATCAAAACTGATCCAGATTTGAACACTGTCCTGACGTCAGGACGGTGGCGCTACGGCTATTGGGCCAACTCCACCAATCAGGAGGAGACAGCCACGGCCATTGCCGTTCGAAAGTGCTGGAGACGCTGTAGTACATATGCCAGGCCTGTAGGTGGTGCTGTTCTCACAGAATCAGCCCTTGCTAAAACAGAGCTAAAAAATGTCAAATTGAGCAAAAGGAGGCATGGCTAAAATGCATGATCTGTTTGGTATTTTGAAAAAAAAAAAGTATAAATATGCCTTATATAGGTATGGTCCTACACTATATTATTCAAATATAGCATGATAGGTCCATTTTAAATTACCAAAAGTAAAAGTACTTGTTATGTAGAAAAGCCAATCCAGCATTATATGTAATATTGCATTATTGGAATAGAATATATAATTTGATATATTAATGCAATGTTAATAATGGAGGTGGTAAAGGTCTTTTATAATAATAGAAACTAATTTATTATTTGATGATAATGTGATCATTTGTAATAATAATGTGATAAAGTAACTAGTAACTGATATTATCATACAGATGTAGTGGAGTAAATGGTAAAATATTTAGGTATAGTGCAGGTATAACCTAGAACTACTCAAGTTAAGTACAAGTAGCTTAAGATTGTACATAGGTAACACCACTGCAAATAAGCTATTACTATGACTGTTAAATTAAGATAGTGGAATAGAAGTATATGTAGCATGAAATGGAAATAGTGAAAGTAAATGTACTTTGGTTTGGGTTCGGTTAATCAGACTCACCTCATTAGTTTTGATCTCATACTTGGAGGATTGCTTGCCCTGGCTTTTCCTCCGGAGCTTCTTCAGTTCTGTCTGCGAGCGCTCCAGAGAGTCCTGCTTCACCTTGTGCTCCGACTGATAGCGCTTGAAGGTGGCCTGCAGTAGGGGTTCGACACGAGAGGAATTTATGAGCAGATTATACAAAATCTGTTATTATACAAATATCTAATTCTAGAGGGTCTTAGCTCTGCAATCCTGAAATATGTATGACTTGGTTTGTTCATGCAATTATTTTGTATATGTTGTACTTTTAATGCTCAATAAAATATATTTAAAAACAGATCTTTTAGTAAATAATTTTTTTTTTTTTTAAATAATATTAATTAAAATTAAAAAAATAATAATAATGCAAGAAGAAAGAAATAGTAATAATTATATAAAAGCCTAAATAATTATTCAAAGTGGAAAATAAATGTAATTAATATACATAATCGTAGTCATAAACAGGGGAATTACTAGGAAAGTGAAAACACTAACATGTTAAGATTAAGTCTGATGACATGACGTGAGTTATGTTTGTATTATAACTAAGTGAGGGTAAGTGAGGGATCTATGAGGCCACTTACATTCATGTACTTCACATCCATCTCTGTCTTCTTCTCCAGCTCGATAATAATCTCCCTGTGGAACCTCTTGAACTGCAGAGAGAAGAAAACACACACCTTACATTCATTGCGACACACATCATGTTATAACTGTCCTCAACACAATGTACAGTTCAGGCACATTGCTGAAATATCACGATAAGCTGAGCACATGATGATAGATTTCTGAGTGGATGAGATTTCACCCATGAACAATGTCTTATCAGCTTTTGGTGGTTAAAGATGTACAACTTTCCCGTTTAAGTACAGGCAGGTTTTCATGCAAACAGATTGTTTTTAGAGGATTGTGCTTTTTTTCCGAAACCCTTTCTTGCGTCAGACTGAGTTTCGTGTTCCAGTCGGTGACACTTGACTTACATTTAGTTCTTGTCACCAGCTGATATCTGAAGCGTTTCAGCCCGAGGCAGCAGGGTCAGGAATGATTCTGTGGTTTTTCCATTCTTGTCAAACTTATTTTTGTAAAGTAAGTTTGTGAATGTAAAGAATGAGCTCCAAAGGTCACAGAGGTTCTAAGTCAAGAACGAACAGCGTAGCAAATTGCGAATGTCGGTCTATTACGTGAAGTTAAGATGAGCGATGATGGCCTGAGGGTACTTGTGGGAATGACAAGTTGACTTGTTTTTCAACTATTTTTGATGACATAAATGCAACACAGGAATGATTACGACTCTCTTCGCCTTTATTCTTCTCATTCTGCAGCAGACAGAATGTAAAGGGAGCTGCTTAAATAGCTTTAAATAGCTTTACAGAGAGAACAAAAGGTGTCATACAAAATTAAAAGTGTTTTTCATTTTGTCAACACATACCATGAAAAAGACTGAAGCCTATTTGACTGTATGGCTCAACACCAAGACCATTTATTTCCACTGAATATGTACATTTAAAACAACTCACAAATAAATACTTTCATGGAAAATAAATGCCTGAAAACAACTGGGAACTGTAGTTTTTACCAAACGCTATTCAAAGATGAGTAAATTGTGCATTTCTTGTGAACAATTTTCAGTAACAAACTTGATGTGCAAGTGAGTATTTATGGCAGCGGGATTATTTATGTTGGATAAAATTCAAATAAACCGAACCCATGTTTATTGTAAAGAAGGAAGCATGTCCTCCCAGTTCAATAGTGTGTCTTATTCAGGTGTTGTTAATATTTAATGGAACAAATAAGACAGGCTTTGGCTACACAGGAAATACTTACAGTATGTTCAGGATAAATTGATAGTTGGTTTTGCTCTTTTTATTGGATTTGTTGACAGTAAAGGAAGTATAGGGTATCGCTAAACATTTCAAGGCTACTCACGCTCTCGTCCAGGTCACTGAAGACCTTCCTGTGGGCATCGGAGATCTCCATCAGTACCACACCTAGAAAGACATCAGGGATAACTTTTAGTATTTCAAAGATCAGTATAAAGACCAGGGTTACAAGCTGTTTTGGGGAAATACATAATTTGATTTCTTGTGGTTAGGGTTAGCACAAAAACAAAGCTAGGCTAGCTGTTTCCTCAAGTTTCCAGTCTGTGTGCTAAGGTAAGCTAACTTGCTGCTTGGTATCTTTCAATTTTTAAATCTAACTCTTGGCAAGGAAGTACATTAACTTGCTTTTTCTAAATGTCAAACAATTCCTTTAAGGGAGGTGGAGAACATTTGGAAAATATAAAACAATAATACAATTGGTAAAAAAGGGCAATAAGCACTAAACACACTTGAGATTTCCTGTATAAACTTATTTGTACAAGTCTTTCATCTTTACAGCCCCTATTTTACAGATGACTTGTCTCCCTTCAATATTTGAACAGCTGTCAATAAGTAATCTGCATGAAACGTTCTGGTATTGTGCGGTCAGATACAGAACAGTCTCCATTCACACACACTGGCTACGGCATAGATAGAGCAGCATATGACACGAGACAATGGGAGTGAGTCAATACTGTAAACACCAGTGGACAATTGTAGCTAAGCAGTTTATAGTGCTACCTACATCACAATGGGGTGAAATCTAGACTCAAGGTTTACTATAGGACATGCTGTTCTGGTTACCCCTGTAAAATACAGTATGGGACATCATATACTGCGTCACAGTGAGGGGAAAAGGGCAACAACCTGAAAGAGTTTCAACATCTTGTGAAGAAAGTAAAGAAAACACATGTGTCAGGTTGTCAGCACACTTTAAAGAGGCCCTATAATTCAAATTTGCAGGTTCATATTAGTATGTAGTGTCTCTACTGGGACATGTCTCCATGCTTTAATGTTCAAAAAGCTCTTTATTTTTCTCCTACTGCCTGGGCTGCAGCACCTCTTTTCACCCTCTGTCTGAAACCAGAGCCCAGTTTAATCTTTGCCGACCATTTACATGGATAACAACCAATATAAAACACACTACAGGAAAGGGAAAACCCAAAAAGCATAATAGAGCCTCTTCAACAAAACAGACAATACGATATTGATTTTCTTGTCAGATCAAGTGTGACATGTTTTGCTCCATATGCAACACCAAAATGGACTGACATTAAACACATGAAGAAGAAAAAAGACAGTTAACAAAGCATTAAAACACTCAAAACTGTGAGTTCAAGTACTTTTAAATCTCCATTTGATCTGGGAATAAACTCAGTATTTAATTCAAGGTTTGGCCGGCCTAACCTTATATAAATTGTGTAACCCTATAGTTACAATTTATGGCAAAAATCAATATTCGCTGTCCAGGATAATGTCGATGGTCAGCCTTAATATGTTATAGGTTATATCATTTCTCAAAGGGTAAGGATTAGCCCCGACACCTGACATTCCTCCGTGCAGGGGGGCAGACAACCCTAATGACCTGCTGATACAGAGCTGCACTTCTGTGATCCAGCTACAACAACATTGCCCTCTGAAGGTCACCAGAACGTACTGGTAAATGCGGCCTTTGTGCTCCGGGGAGGGAGGGGTGGCACTGCTCTCAGGGGTTGTTTGTACAGCCACAACAACTGAGAGTAAGGGGGGGGGGGAGGCTGAGAAATGGTGGGAGGGGGGTTCAAAGAGGTGGTTGTACACCTGCAGGCTTCACCTTTGGGGTTAACAAGGTGTGATAACCTGCTGCAAGGAGAGCAAATGCTGCAGATTGTTATCACAGCTTGGAATATACTGGACGGGGAATCATGAGCGTGCCACGTGAGAGAGAGAGGCCCAGAACGGTGTTGTAAAAAAGTCAAACACTGATGCTTGTATACTTTTACTCCATGCAAATAATGTGTGAGAGGTGTTAAAAGCACACAAATAAATTCCCTCTTCATAAAGTGTGAATAAAAAACTAAAAAGCTATACATAGGTTTTTATCATCTACTGGACTTCCATTCAAGTTCATTACCAAGACGGCTTTTATCTCAATTCATCTAATCTCCTATCTCCATCTGCTGCAGGCGATTGGTTATCTTTTGAAGATTTTAAGTACCAAGATAATCTAATCTCATCTCGTCTCAAAAATTCTGTGCCGGGCTGCATGCATTTCTATGCAGGATTGCACAGGGTTGAGAAAAAACACCTGGAGAAACCTCACCGTGATTCACTCACATGACTAATGATTCATTGCGAACACTTTGCCTTTCTCTCCTCCACTTGCACATGCAATGATATGGGTCTGATACTGTAGCTCAATGAACTTTGACCTTTGTCACACACATGTTCTTTAGTAGTCTGAGCTTTAAGCCTTTCTGAAATGAAAATACACATCATGTGGTCTTGTCAATCCGATGTATGCATTGAACTGAATTTTAGATATCTTCACATGAACTTGTAAAAAGTTGTCTTACATATTCTTGGTAGAAAGTGAAAAATAGAGAATGATTTAAGAAAATACAGGAATTGTCATGTTATCAAGAAAGCTCATTTAAAAAGTATTTGTCCATTTATTTATCGAGCTGGGCCTTATGATTTATAATGACCTTATTTCAGATTTTTGTATTGTTAGTTATTTACTTAAAAAGAGGTGTGTGTGGAAGAGTTATTGTAGTATGTTTGGGTGCCATTTTGAGATAATTGTGACATTAAATTCTCATTTAGTCCCATGCCCAAGTTCATGCATTTAGTTCACAGCAAATGCAAAGAAAATTATTTGAATTTTTTCCGAACTGTTTTAAATGGCTGTTTAACGAGACTGCAGAAAGGACTCAGAGAAACGCCTTTGACATTCCCTACAGGTGAGGCCCTTAAAGAGCTAGGAGTGCCCTGTGCCAACCTGATTTAGTTGTTAGATAAGTGAGCCGTACCATATGAGATCATGTTGGCAGGGCAAACACTGAAACACTGCCACCTCAGACTGGCCTGCATTTCACAACTCTATCCAACTGGCAATCCTTCCTCTATTGCCTCCATCCAAGCTGCATATGAGTTAGCGTTTAACTTGGCAGTGGTCTTGGTCATCGTCTTGTTGAAAAAGATTCAATATCACCGAGATGCATCACAGGGCTTGTCCACACAGGTGTGTGTGTGAGTGTGTGATGACTTGTAGGCAGCTCCTATGTGACTCAATTATACACATTCTCGTGTAGGTGGGGACTGTTTGGAGGTTGCCAGATGATCTACGCCCTTCCTGCTATCATGATGCTGTCACGGTAATCAATGCTAAATGAGTCTGGACTCTGGCAGAGTCTCAGCCATGAGTAACTCGTCTGTCATTCGTTGTGGGGTAAAGGAATACTTTTGTCATCTGGAGTATCACTATTAACATCATAAATACAAATTGGGGTTTGGAGTTGAACAAAACCAAATCCTAAACTCAAAGACCCTAGGACACCTTTAACCGAAAACCATATATGATATGATCAAAAGCTTAAAAATGACTCTTGAGATGTTTTGTTAAATGCTGTGGTATAATCAAAAGCTCAGACGTTTATAAAACAATAATTGCATCAACATAAATGCAAATGGTTATTGCCATTTGGAGCAAGTCATTATAACAAATCAAAGATGTCAACTTGATTAAAGATCATCACCGTAATGATGATGAATAGTGACCTTATTTAGTTTGTATGCATTCATTATTGTTCAGTGATTTGAACATCCACTGAAATTCAGCATGTCTACTTTGTTTGCTGTAGATCAATAGCTGTGACAGCATCTTTAACACAGAGGGATGACCTGCCATCACACACAGCACATAACATCATTTATTATACGTATAAAAATACCTGCAGCCCCAAGCATCAACAATAAATCTCTTTATACTTAATGCAGCACACTCAATGCAACCTCGAATAACCTTAGAAACGGCATGTGTAATTTATATTATTTATGTGAAGACTAATGTTTTATAGACAGTGTTGAAATATATCAGCTAAGGACAGGTTCAATCGCAATAATGAGATATGTTTGCGAAGTGTGAGGGATTTAGATGCTCCAACGTCATGAGGCGCTTTCACACCGTAGTACTTTTCCCACTTTAGTTCCGATATAGTTCCAAAAATGTGCGTTCACACCAAAAAAATCCGGAACTAGAACTTAGTTCATGAGAACCTTTTCACCCCCTTTTCAGTCACTGCTAGAGAGCAGGTACTTTCATGGGAGAAAAAGGTTCCTATGTCTGATTGGCTGGGCGGATTGCAAACCACGCACCGTAAAACTCCCAAAAAGTTTTGTGAAGCCGCCATTTTATTTGCTGGCATTAGCATTATTAGCATTAGGATTAGCCCAGCGCACCAACGGAGAGAGACTAACTTACGGCAACACAAAATAAAACGTGGGAGCGGTGGATTGATGAGGAGGTGTCGGTGTTCTGGCGATTTACTCGGAAGGCTTTGGGCTGAAGTCCCCCAACTCCGGGGACTTCCGGCCGGGGACTTCGGGTGGCAGTATACGCCGTGAAGTTGTTTGCGGCCCGCCAGTAAACCCAAAGCAGAAGAAGAAGAAGTGACGTCAGCAGCTTCATTTGCCTAATCCTCCCTCAGGGACTTATTCCGGTGTGAACGTTCTGCTCTGTTCTGATGAACTAAGTACGGCAAAGTACTTGGTGTGAAAGCGCCTATGGTTTATTGAGCTGTGAGTGAGTCTCTGTATGTTTAGAGGTCCCTTGGAGGAAACTTCCAGTATACCGGGGAGCAGGTAGTTTAATAGTGGATGAAGAAGGAGGGTGTTTGAGCTTTTAGGATCATTAGAAATCTGTGGAGTGTGACAGAACAAGTCATAACTGAGTGAACAATGAGTGGACTGAAAACAACCTTCACCCACCCCCTTTTTTTCCCACAGTTTTATGGCTGGTTTGGGAAAACAATCTGTTTTGATATTTCAGTGGCCCAAACATTTACGCCATATCGTCCAGCTGATAGTCCTTACCAACTGGTTTTATTGCTATCATGAGCAGTACAGCTGATACCACTTATTGAGGGTTA